TCGATTGACAATTAAAAGATGCAACATGTTATATTCTTGCATACTGCGTCGAACTGTCTATTGGATTCAATTCTGACACTATTAAAAACAACAATAATGAAGTCTGTAGCTTTGACTGTAGATATAAAAAAAAAAAATGGTATGAACAGCAAATAGAAAAGATTCATTTAATTAAAAAATAAAATGCATATTTCTATCTATGAAGTACAAAAAGAATTTCTATTTTTATTTCGTATAAAGACTCGTAGTCTAATTATAACAATCATACCATAAATGAAGTATTTACATAATAGTATATATGTATAAGTCAAAAAAGAAGAAGCACACGCGTTCAAGTAAAAATGTTGATATCTATGTGTCTCGAGCATAATGCAAATGCTCATTCATTAAGTTTCTAAATACATAACCGTTTAAATGCCGGCGCACCGCGCGGCGATAAAACATAACAAAACTCACCGTAGTCCAACGATTGTTGTTGCTGCTGCGCGTACTGCGACGTACTATTCGCCGGCGTGACTCTGAATCGCTCCATTCTTCTCTACTCACTCCAAAAAAAAAAAAAAAGAAGAAACGAGCACCACTATCGGACACTAGAAACCCCTCCCCACGTTTTGTTTACGTCCGAACTACGTTTAGCCCCAAGGGGCGCGTGCCGCGCGGAAACCGACGCGATAATTTAACTCTTCAACGGAACGGCACTTTCGTTTAAGACGATTGGCGAACGCCTTCTCCATTCGCCGACGCGAATATTACAGTCTGATTCTGCCGGCAGCCGCTTGTGACCGTGCGACAACGATAACGCGCCACGAGGGAACGAACAAAGAGCAGTCGGTACGGAGCGAGGAGGACGATACGGAGGTAGGGAGACGAATGAAGCGGCTGCGAAGCGATCGCACGAGCAAAAGAAACGGAGAGAACCGCGTGGGGAAAGAACCGCGTGTGTATGCGATGGCGTGTCTCCGCTTCGTCCTTATCGCACCCGCGAGGATAGATGTGTGCTGTAGAGCACGCTTGGGAACCGCGTCTCATAGGCTCGCACGCGTCCAGAACGGACCGCGTAAACTAACGCGTGCCTTGCGCGCGATAACGCTCGCGTTTGATCGAATCGCGCGTGTTAACTCGCCTGGAAGGGGCTCCTCCGCTCTTTCTCTCTCTCTCTCAGTCTTCGACTCTCTTCCTACCCCTTTTGTCTTACGAATTTCGCTTGGAACAGCAACCGCGCCGCGCGCGTTTGGAACACCGACTGCGCTCTTTGCGCTGACACAAAGCCTACTCATGGCTTCGCGGCCCGATCGCCTGTTTTATGTATGTAGATGTGTGCACGCGTGTGTGCACGCATACGCCAGAGAACTCCGGAGTATATACACGAGGACGTTTACTCTGCTGACAATCAGACCGGCTTCACACTAGCATATGACAATTCGGTTGCATGTTAATCAGACAAAATTTAGAATTGTATCAAGCCATGTATTTAATCAACGAGAGTATTGCAATGTATGAATTACGTTCAAAAGATTTAGTCGATTGTTTAATTTGACACGATTCATTCGTACTGTGGCTGCTAGTGTGAATCGAGCCTGAACCGGCTCCGATCCGGTGGGCGCCACAACAAGGGTACCCACGTGTGCGTGCCATCCGCACCGGCTGCTTCCAGGAACGTAACAATCGCAGAACTACCCTCGATGGAGAGCCATTGGTTGCTAACAATAAGGACCGGGTAAAAGAACTTTGCCCAGAGTTTCTCTCTGCTTCGCCTCGCTGGAGAGAATAAAAGGGTGGACGAAGTTGTAACTTCATTTGCTTCTGGCCACGAACATGTCCAGCAAATATTCAGATTTTTGTTCACATTCCAATTTCTACTCACTGGCTTATTTTTCTATAACTTTAAGTATCAAAAATTCTATGGTTTTTACTTTATTCTTCTAGAATTATGACCTGTTAAGGGTTCCAGGGTTAAAGAGTTTATAATATATAAACTGGTCGTTATTAATGTTAATAAAAAAATAGAAATTTCACTTTACGCTCCTTGAATAGAATATATGTATTTTTGTATTCATATATTTCTTATAAACCCATGAAATTCACAATCTAAATGATACGGATTATGACCGAGAAAATTGAGAGCTGAAACCATTTTAAAGGAAGCCAACATGATAAAGAAGGACGTTAAACGAAATGCGAAAGCGTTAAGATTAAATTTGAAGGGAGTAAAAGATGCAATCGAAACAATTATTGCAATGGAGCTATAAAAAGTCGGCAAAAGGTACATAAAGAGGTTGAATTTCGTCTTAACTTGGTCTCTGTTGGCTGCCCTCCAAAGTCACCCGCTCCACGGTTATTTCGAATCACCGAGTCGCGAAAATTGAATTAATTCAGAAACGAATTACTAATCTCTAACGCGAGACTTGCTACAGCAGAATACACCTAGTTTGTCACGGTAATGGCGAAACACTCGAAACTTTTGACAAAGTGCATGCGATAATGAATCACGGAGTTATTACTCGAGGATGATATGGAAGTGAGTACTCGAACGTAGCCACGTGTGCGCTGTGCAATCTGCATATACCGTGCCGGGTTTCCCCAGGACCGTACGTCTGCCTCCTTACACCAACCGATGCGGTTCTTACTTTACTAACAAAAATGAAAGAAGTAGGGCTCGAGTTCGAATTCCGGCGATCGATGTCTTTGAAAAAAGCTAGAGGACCTAGTTCTCGGCTTTTGTACGTTCAGAAACCATTTGACTATGTAAATGGTCACGCAGCCGGGTTTCAAAAGCTATGAAAGGAGAGCGTCAGTCCCGTGAAGTATTGATTATCTAGGAATCTCTTTAAGTGCGCCTCACGTAATTGTCAATTGGATTTTAATCTGAATTTCATCCGAATCGGTAATTTTGACCTTTAGTGAACTATGACTCTTTGATGGAAGCGGGAATTTAACGAAACATGTGACTGTAATTGCGGTTCCATGCATGAGTTTTCTGTATACATTCTAAGTATGTATGTACGTATTAATGTATGCAATTTCATCGCAGTGATAACGCGACTGTGGCGGGTTGCACGTACGAATTATCACATTTTCGTTCATACAGTGATGAATAATCTCAGAACTTGTTACCCGGGTAACTGTTCTAGATGGCAGCAGAATGCAGAAACCTCCTCTGCGGGGAAATCTCATCTTTTGCATTAGCAAAATCATATGTATTAATTATGTTATGTGTTTGTACTACATGATTACATCAACTAATTTACGTGTATCAAATTTTACACCAGTTACACAGTAAATGTCCAAATATCTATTCACGTAACAATTTCTGTTCACTATCTTTTCTCCCTATTATTTCAAAAGCAATTTTAAGCAAGTGAGTATTTAGATATTGTATCGTGAACAAAAATCTTAATGTTCACTATAGAATTTAATTGCCGTAAACGTCTCTGTACTTTCATGCTATTTAAAACGTGGCGACAACGTAGGCATTGCTTCTGATAAACGCTTCTGACAATGAGATCAAAGTGATATCCAGTGTTTGTCCAGTTTTGAAATATTATGCGGAAACACGCATTCTTTCGGCTACCTACGGGAGGTAATAACCGTTTCAATGAAAAGACTGTCCAACCGCCGATACTTTTCTAGTCATCGTTCCAACCCTTACACAAAATTTATCGAATAACTTTCCATAGTTTAATTACAAATCATTTTTCGTAATACGTAATACGTAATTAGGAAGCAGAATAGACGTTTTAATCTTAAGTAAAGTTCACTTAAGTATTAATGTCCATAAAATAATTACCAGACAGCATGAAAACATAAATCATGGCATTGGGCATTCATACACACTTTCTATCCATAAATCTCTTTTTCCACAACGAGAGCATGAGTTATGTCACAGGTTGAACTCTGACACCATACGAAATATGAAAAGCTGGTGACACGTAGCCGGATGTTAGCACGGTACGTTCGTAAAACGTTTTGCTCACGAGGAAAATCGCATTAGCATTTCAAATGCATGGAGATCCACGGGCAGAGTGCTCCGATTTAATGCGAAAGCTAGAATCAAAACCCGTCAGATCTGTAAGGCTGTGCCAACCGTACTCTTTCCATTGATACATAATGCAAGTCCATTGTAGCATTCGTTACTTTTTATCCAACAAGCAAATATATACAAGTATATCATTAGCGATGCGTTTCCAGAAGTGGGATTAAGTTCGAGTGCTGCGAATTCCCAGTTTTTTAATTAAGTACATAAATTGTAATACATTCGATTGACTAAATGTGTCGTATATGAAGGAACAAAGAATGAAACTGTTCGTATGTTCATTTTAATACAGCTATTGGTAGTTAAAGCGAGTATGGTGGAGGTCTTAAGTGAAATAAAATGAAAAAAAGATCCAAAGGCGTGCGAGGCGTCGGCAATTTTTCTGTCCTTGTGCAGTTAAGGTCGACAAGCCCCTGGTCGTGCTCCGATCGAAGGCGAGAGATTCGAAGGGAGGCAGAAAACAGGAATCGGTTGGCCGTGCACCTTGGCGTTCCGTGGCATCTCGAGGCGCAAGAAGGGAACGACACAAGGCGCATCTGCCATTGTGTGAGAATACGTGTGTGTAAATTTTTTTGTTCGACTCGAGGGAGCGCATTTCTCATCATGTTCCTCTCCGTCCTCTCTTTCTGCCTTGTTCTCGATCGCGCTCGACGTTTCGACGGAACAGCTGATCGTTTGCCCCTTTAATTGGATCGCGGCTTCGTCTCGTTCGTCGACGCCGCGGTGCTTGGCCGCGATTTCAATAAATATTCCGGCATAGTGCTCGCTCGCTCGGTGAGCTCGCCCAGTGCGTTTAAGCGTGCCTGTGAATACGTTGGTTTGTCGCCCGGTGCACGGTAAGTGTCGTTACTTCGGTTATCTTTCTTTAGGTTAGGAAGCGCCTTTAAAGCTGCGTGCACAATGTCTGGATCTGAACGTGGACAACCTCGCGCCGTGGAAAATAATTTTCATTCAAACGTATGTACGTATGTGCGTAAATCGTTATACTGCGGGCATCTAAATCGGACTTCCGATCGAACGAGCACAGACTCTTTGTTCTATCTTTAAGCCTGAGGAATTAATTATAAGCGAATCAAATCGTGTGCTTTTGTTCTTTTGATTGAAACGCAATGGCGTAGCGGAATTCGTAGAACAAGTGTGCACATATATTGATAGATTTAAAAATTGAAATGCCGACCAAGCTTTTAATAAATTGCTATTCTTTTTAATTCAGATGTGTCACAGGGTTGAACCATTTTATCGATGTAGGAGCGGTGTTCGATATCTGTTTCGCGAAGGGGATCATTCAACCGAATGTAGAGAAATATTCGATGAACGTAGCATTGGAAGGGATGTCGTAGAGGCCGCGCATCGTTCGAACGACGCGTCGCCATGACGGTGCAGCTGGCCATTATGTTTCCGTGCCGGGGAAAGGGAAATGGCGAAAGAGAGAGAGAGAGAGAGAGAGAGAAAGAGAGAGAGACACATTGCATCCACCATAACGGCTCGAAGTTGCGTGACGTCGTCTTCAATGGCCGCCGCCGTGTTGTCTGTGCATGTAACGGAGCGCGGTATTATCAGAGACCGCGTTCCGCGCTGGTACACGATCTAGTGTTTATCGTTTCTCGTTAGTATTATTCACCACGCTGTGGTCAGACGTGCGAACCATGGGCTCGAAGAAGCACAAAAAGCACAAGCGCGAGAGGCACGAAGGTGAGGGGACCGGACAGTGAAATCCGGCGTATCTCGGCCCGTCTTTGTCGTATCGTCGTCTGTCGTCGATTTATTTGAAGCGTTTCGTTACACATCATCTTGGCATCGTACAGGCCGTCGCGTTACTTGAATCGCTTGTCCGTTGGTGCGTGTTACGTCGTGTCGCACACTGTGTCGTGCTCCGAACAAGGAACGCTGGAACGCGCTTACGAATTCAAACGGCGCCTCTCGACAATATCGCTTAAACGCGATTATTTCTCTTTTGTTTTTTTTTTTTCGTTTTCTGTACGAATCATGCTCGCGTTTGACAGTTCATTGCGCCACGTTAGCAGGTGTCTGCATACTGTGTTTCAAAGCTTCCATTCTCAATTGTGCACCACGCAGCCTAAGACTGACGACGGGTGTCTTTCATTTCTCGAACACTCCGTTTTGTCCTCGTTTCGTTCTATTCAATATTTCTCTGTTAGTTAATAACTGATTTGTTTTCGCAATACTCAGGACGTCTCACACGTCTTTCCGACGTTCTTGCTCGTGTCAACCGTGCAAGGATTCAAATGAAAAAGTAGAAATGAATATTAAAGATGTATGCCAGGCGTAGAGGTTTCTGACTAGCCGAGATGATAGGATCGGTCGATGCTTCGCACAACGTTTTCATTGGAATCCTTCTTGTACTCATAGTTTAATGATGCACAGGAATATTGACTACGTTTTCACCAAGGACAAACTGAGAGTGAGGTTGGAGTATAGAAGTGAGGTGGATGCAAAAGTATAAACGAAGGTTCCACAGCAACACGTGTGAAGTGGAAGTAAGTGACGTGTAACAAACGACATGGACTGGTTGCACGACAGAAACTAGCTGTGCTTCCAAAATTTACTCAGAAGTCTCAAACCCTTTTTCACTTATATATATATATATGTACATATATATGTATATATATTTTGTTGTCTGTCAAGATCAGTTGAAGTGCAACAAGAGCGTCGAACTTACGTTTCACTGTATTTATTGGAAATAATTGTCTGGAATACTGCTATGACTGTTGCACTTCAATCACTTAGTACCCTGGCTGTTATGTATTATGGCGACAGAGGCCATACATGCTTTTGCTTTACCTCCACGAGGTATTCTCAATATTAAACAGTTGCTCCCTCCTTGATTACTCCCACAGACTCAATCGGTCAATGCAACAACAATTATTTTATCGCATACTTCTCTGTCAAGGTTTATTTAATTTTAAGTCAAGCTACTTCCATCTCGCTTCCAGTTTGTTGAATGTGAAAACAAGGTCACTGTCCTGTTATACAATCTTCATTATCATCATTATTGTCATCATCCCCCCTTCACCCTTTCTGTTAATATCCCGTAGACGTTCATTAATTCAACATTACACTATTTGTTTTTCTCTCCACACCTCTGCAAGATTATACAATGCAATATGTAGCACAGTAATTTTTTTTTCTTCATTACAACAATACGCTGTAATTCTGCACTTTTGTATGATTTTCCGCAAGACATTGTTTTATCGCTGCATGCACTAGATTTTATTTATAGCTTTACGCTTCGATTATACTCATGTTTATTAAATGATTTTTTATGGAGTCCGAAATAACTATGCCTCTCTCTTTCGATTTCAGTTGAGGGGCATTATACAACTCCGGACAAACCTCGTACTTTGAAATTAATTCTGAAAGTAGGGGGTAGTAGTGGGACGCCTGAATACGGGAACGAATCCCCGAGTCAAGCAACGATGTTGTCGCAGCACTTAGGCGTCTACCAACAGCAGTTGGGTCTCAACTGCTCAGTAACGCAGGAATCGGAATACGACAGGTACTTGGGGCACAAGAAATTGAAGAAGAAAAAGAAAAAGAAGGACAAAAGGCACAAGCATCATCACAAAGATAAGAAGCGGAGGAGAGAGGAGTCCAGTCAGGAATCTGTAGGAGATGCCGATGAGAACCTGGTCGAAATCCCTAAAAAAATTCCGAGTCATCAACTGCTGCCACCGAGACTACCGTCCAGTGGTGAACACAGGCTCGGTGTCGTTAGCCACATTAGTTCTCTCTCACCGCATCGCGAGCCGAGAACTTGCGTGCTTAGGAAAATTGCCGAGCGCACGCCGCTCCAACGATTACTAGAGCATCTCTTCAGGTCGATGGAGAAACGTGATCCCCAGCAGTTTTTCGCCTGGCCGGTCACGGACAGTATCGCACCCGGATATTCTCAGATCATAACTAATCCCATGGATTTCAGTACCATAAAGCAAAAGATAGACGACAATAACTATCAAAACTTGAATGAATTCATCGATGATTTCAAGCTGATGTGCAACAACGCTACCACGTATAATCACCCGGACACCATTTACTACAAAGCAGCGAAGAAGCTGTTACACGTTGGCCTTAAAATGGTTACACCCGAGAAACTTCGTCAGCTGAGACCCGTTCTTACTTACATGCAGGATCTGTCCAAGGAGGAACTCGGGTTCGAATTAGGTATGGAAGATCCGAACAATCCGGATGTTCCGGTGACGGAGGAGCAGATCGAACGCGAACGAGAACAGGAGGAGCGCAACGAAGAAGCGGAGGAGCTCCGAAAGGAGAACCAGAGGAAGATGAGGCTGGCGAACTTAGGAAAATTCGAAGCTATACCTGACGATTTGACTCCTGAAGAGATATTGAAGCAGGCCCGCGGTGCTGCGAAAGTCGCGTCGGAGAAATTGACACTGAAAAGGTTGAACTCGAAAATGGGTTTCCTGAGACAGAAGAAAGACGGAACTACCAGTTTACAAATCATAGTCCCGGGAGATGGTGTGATCCCAGGAACTAATCAGAGACCGGTGTCGTTAGGGCAACTTATAGGCAAATTGAATCACGGTACAGGAGCGTTAGCAGGCTTTCGAGAGGACAGGAGGAACATGTCGAAACCGGTGAAACCCTTGTACTACGGTGCCTTCGGTTCTTATGCACCCAGCTATGATTCCACGTTCGCCAACCTCACGAAAGACGAGACAGACTTAGTTTATCAAACTTACGGTGACGAGACCGCTGTACAATACGCAGAATCGATACTAGATTTCGCTAAAGACTGTGATTACACGTTGACTATGGTCGACGATCTGCTGGATATTTTGACGGGAGGAGATCACAGGAAGACTAAGAAATTCCTCGAGGAGAAGCGACGGCTCAAAGAAGAGGAAGAAAAGATAAAACATTTATTAGAGAAACCTATGCAAGACATGAACCGCAATATCGCCCCCGCGGACATCGTAAAAGTGGACATCGATCAATTAAAAACGCTGTCGGATATAGGAATCGATATTAATTTCTTGGAGAACTTAGGTAACTTTGTGTGAAGCAAAATTACGTTTTAAAACACTTGCGAAATCATTAGTAACACTTTAAATTTAATTTTATTTTACAGAGGAAGAGCTGAAGCTCGTCGAGGAACGGTCAGCTTTGCAGAATCGATTGGACGACACTTCGCAAATGTTAAGTCGGTTGAAGCAAACGCAGCACGAGCGGCTCTCGACACAACCGCCCGCGCACTTGTCGAATGTTCCTAAGCCGTCAGAATCGGAAGTGGCGATAGCCGATAAAATCACGGATAATTTAACGGAAATAGCTAAGAAACTCCCGCCCTCGGCAATCGCGCCTGTGGACGGATTGCGAAGAGCTATGGGTATTGCGCCTCTTGGTGGGCCGGAGCCTATGGAGGTTGAACCGATCACGCATAACCCGACCATAGTTGCCGAAAGCAGTTTGATGACGCAGGCTGCCGGTAACAATCAAGTTCCGGCGAACTTGTTGTCGGCGCCGTCACCGATTCAAAACGCGAATTTGCTCAGCCCTAGTAATCAGCAGAATCAGCCGATGAACATCGTGAATACGAGCCAGGCTCCGATACCGATACAAATTGGTATAACCCACGCTCAGACATCCGCCTCTTTATTGAACACGGCGGAGACGTCCGCGGTACCCGATCTCGAATCGGAGCTACGCGAATTTTTGGAAAGTGACCCTACGTTAGGACACTCGCCACTCCACGACGACAAAACATTGGAAGATATACTGTCTGAATCTTAGTGTGGACGATTCTCCGATTATATTGATTTCTAATTAAGATTCACCTCTCGCAGGTTGTACATTTTATTACGTATATACGTTTAATTTTAAGCGGGCCGGCCAATAAATCAGATCGTGTTTGAAATAATCATGTTCTCATTCGACCAATACCATATTTAATTCCGTTTATGAAATTTGTGTAATGAAATATCGCATAGACTGAGAGAGTTTGGAATGGAATATAATTTGTGAAGCATAATATTATTAAATGACGAATTGTAAGACAAATACTGTTTGATACTGAAGTACGGCTAATGAATTCCGAGCAGAAGTCTGCTTTATTTTAATTCTGTTTGTCAGTAGAACCTCTGAATTATTTTGCACTTTGCGATGGAATGTAACTCCGTTTTTACTTTAAAATGGAAATGGAAATATGAAATAGGAAATTGTACATAAGGTGTATTTTTAAAAGTGGTAAATGCATTTTCCTTTGAAAGAAGAAAAGAATTGATATATTCCCATGAGAGTTTTCAAAACACGCTCTTTTACTTTCTCGAACTATCTTTCCTACTTCTATATATCTAGTTTTTCCAATCGATTATCACGAGAACGCGAGTTATGATCATTGTGCATAGCGATATCGAAAATTTCGTTTCCGTGCGAAAAACAGAATACATCATTTTTCAAAGAATTAATTTCATCGTTCATTTACATACCCAATGCAGCGTACGGTGTCCTTGTCTCCGAGCATAGTTGATTCACTTGTTCACTTTCATTCACTTCTGTAAAAAGACAAATTAAGAATAATGAAATGAAATAAGTGACGTTCTATCAAACGAAGACGAATGTTTCACTCGTAGCAATTTTAATATGGCTGTTGATTTTAAACGCGACTACGTAATTGCATTGAATAATAATTGCTTGGTTCAACAATTGCTCGTTGAATTTTAACGAATTGATTCGTCGAATTCTATTGTTACCTAACTGTTAACAAACCTATTGTTCGTTATTGTTTTCCATTTATATGAATATAAATAATAAAATTGCCTCCATACAACTGAATTCCGAATGCATGACGGGATCGCGATTCGAATACAGATTATTAGAACGAATTTAAGTGCTAGACATCAGATTATATGAGCACACGTACCTGGTATTACATTATTTTTGATAAGAATATCAAATACACGTAAAACACACTTTTTTCTTGTAAAATTTCAAAATTTAACACGACAAAACGCGGCAACTGTTACGAATAATTCACTCCACTGGTAATAGAGATTCACGTATGGTGGCGCTAGTGATACTGTTTCTAGCAGTCGTGACATGCTGCGCCAAAATCAAAGAAATGTATTATGACTTGTGTAGTACAAATTAAAATAAAGGAACAAAAATAATTTTGTACGGATTAGTGGTGATATAGGCAAATCCTAAACACTCTTCTTTTTGATAAATAAAGATATTTCAATTCAATTTAGTCGTGAGATTCGAAAATAACTCATCTCGGTATATGGAAGTATACTGCATAAAATTTTACATCAAAAAGATCAAAAAAAGAAAACTGTTTTACAGAATTAATTACTTGCATATTTTAGAAGAAATCATATAAAATTTTATAAAACAAAATGTACTGAAATTGAATAATGATTATAAGAATTGTCAAACAAGTCCCTTTGACTCCCCTTGGTAGACTTAGTGTTAATGATAAATAAATATTAAATATTATAAAATAACGATAAATAACACGTTCAATAGTTAAATGAAGTGCTTCAGAAGTCTTATTGCCACGTTAGAAACCCTACAGATTGTTCATTTAATATTTCATACACGGAATTGTTGAAACGAGCAACGTTCTAATCAGTTTCTGCTCCGCCCGTTACTAATTCTTCCCTCGCATTGTTCAGAACTGTTATTTATGCAGCGTGCAAAGTGCACAGCGCTCAGAACCGGTCGATTGTATAGCCATGTAACGCGGTGCTGGCATGGAACAGCGAGCAGCGAGTGCGTAGGAACTGAGTGAGAACTGCCGGCGAGGCAAGAGGTACGAGTAACTGTAGCTGTACGATAATAGGATTACGACGGTAAAGCGTGGGCTAATTCGAAAATTCCTGCCCAACCAGCCCGATATAAGTGTGATTCACTATAATCGCATCGTTAGAGCGAAGTAGACAATCTTCCCCGATACAGGAAATCAGAAACTAGATTAGATCACTCATTTATTTTAATAGTTGGAATCAAGCTACGGATTTCGAAATTAAGCTTTAAAAAATGAGATCTAAACTGGAATTTGTTTTACTTTTCAGAAATAATAAAAGAAATGTATTTCTCGTTTTATTTTCGCCCATCTGATATTCTGAAATAAACTGCGTCTGATCAGACTGAAAACTTATACACAGGCTGGGATAGAATTGAAATACAGTAGCCCGAGTGAATATGAAGTGAAGATAACTCATGTTACATTCCAGTCTGCACGCGAACTAGTACGGAACTTACATTAGAATTTGTATAGTCAGACTGCTCGGACAGTAGAATACGGCCTTGTTCGATCGAACAAGTGGAACAAGTTCGTGACTGGACACACGCAGTGTAACCCGGCGGACAGATAAGATCAGATGTGGTGCAATACATCTTGATTAACATTGCAAAATTAATGTTCTTAATACGTCTGTTTCGTGGCTAACGCGAAACGCAAGTATATTTACAAGCTTTAATTGTAAAAAGCATACGTATATTATATATTTATGATCAACATTGACATCTACAATTCTATTAAATATAATCAGTGAATGTTGTTTTACGTGACAATTCATTTGATTCATCTTGTATATAAAGCATTATAACGCAGAGTTTGATTCCGTCCACGGTTATTTCTGTCATAAATTCATGAACTACTAACTCAATTAACTACGCTTAACCGGGACCACGGCCTGGCTAGCAAATCAATTACGTTATTAACATGTAATGAACGTGTTACGCACGAAAATTCCTACATCGCTCTGAAATACTTCTCAAAAGAGAGTTTAATTGAATTAGAACGGACCACGTCAATTTTCGTTTCGCGACCGGTTGCAAAATTCGCATCTGAATTTCGCGGGGGAGATAATAATAGTCTTCTCGCCGGCGCAATGATAATTGAATCCGCAGCGAGTTTCGACAAATTTAATTGTGACATCGTTCATGTAAGCATTCCTAACGCGGATTTCGATTTTAATCGGCTGTAATAGCCGGGTAGTCCCTCGCTGCGCGTCGGGACTCCTCGTTTTAATCCTGTTTGTTTTCCGCGGACGGTCGCCGGGATTCCATTAAAACTCTCAGCGAAATCGAACGCCTCGTCACGGGCCGATTAATCGAAAGCGATTAAACATCATACCTCGAAGGTTGTTTGATGTCACGAGTGTCCACGTTCGTAGATTCAAGATTTCTCGCACACGACATGTATTTATTCTTCCATTAAAAAACGATTTTCTTAAACGATTTACAATACAATGGATGCTCGTGCAACCATAAACAAATGCATTGTTTCAAGGGGCACATGCAACGCTGTGATCTATTTTTCATTTCTTTACTTTTTTACCAAAATTCATCTTATATAAGGGATTAAATTGATAATTTATTATCGAAGATGATGGGAATCGTGACCGAGTCTTTACGATTCCAGTGACTTACAATCTTCACCTCGAAGAGTGTCTTCCTGTTCAGGACGTTATTCTTTGGCGAAGAAAGGGTAGTCGACACGCAGCCATAAAGAGAGCAATCATATTCCGCCGCTACAGCTAACAGGAAATTGTGTGGCTTTCTATGTTTACGGGCAGGCCACGCGGATCGCACGAGCGGAAACTGCTCCGTCTCGCCCCCTTACAGAAACGCCCATGCTTCTTGGAAAGTTTGATTAGGCAGCGAGTCAATTATGGAATCTTTTCCCTATGGTCAGGCGAAATAAAATAAAAGCGAGCAAGCTTTAATCACACATTGAACATAAATCTCGTCTCTTTCGAACAGACAAACAATTGTACTCTGTTTCGTATTAATTTTCTCTCAACAGTGGCGATTTGTTTTCACTTCGAAATCGTTCGCAGTCCGAATGAAACTTCGTTCAACGAAATGAAAAAATGTACAGTTCGGAGAAACGAGTTTCGAGACATTTAACAAACGAATCTGCGCGTTGGTTTATCGATTACAACCCGTGGGTATTTGCGCGTGGGACGCGATATGAAAGCAATTCCGGGCCGGAAGTTGACTCTGCTAAAAGGAGGATTCATAGAACTGCGGAAGCTTTGCTAAAAGAATAATTCCAGGAAAAGGCCAATGGTCTAATTCTCTAATAAAGAGCAAATGGCACAAGAAGCGGTCTGTTTCTTGGCTCTCCTGTGATCCGATTATCGACAAGCCCAGAAGGGCTCCTCTTTCAGGAAGTTTAATTGAACGGGACCGCCGCGGCACTTTCCTCGCGACCCCCCGAACTTCGTACGATACTTCTTCCTGACCGTGAAACTTCGTTTCTCAACTCTTTTGCTGATTAATGAAAACGAAGCTCGGAAAGCTTTCTGCTTGATCCGTATCAGAGATCAGCAGGAATAAATAACTGAATAAATCAGCAAAGATTCTTTATTTAAGAGCATAAGCTCTTGTAGACGGTTGCAATTCAGGGGCAACCCTGTAAGTGCCAAAATCATATATTTAAATTGTCAATAGACTATCTGAACGCGTATGGACTGAAAACGTGAACGTCATTTAGATGCGTAATTTCAACCAGGTCATCGTTGTATTTCGGGCGAAGAGATGAGAAATTGTAGCAAGGTAATGTTTGCGACTATCCTGCGGGCGATCCAGGGAACAAAAGGGAAATACCGTAGCGTAATATTGCGTTTCACCTCCTTGAATAGCCTTCCTCTACCCCTCGTTTCCTTTCCCATTTTCCTAGCCAATACATTTTTCTCCAATTCCTGGTATGCTGAATGCTTCCCGATTTTCATCCGCTCCTTTGATAGCCGAAACAACACGGGCCCCGTTCATTAAACATTTTTTAATATCGGCTTGACCCAATTCTCATACCTCTGGAAACTTTCAAATTCAAATTCGAATAGCACACGATAGATAACGCAGCACTATTGTTGTAGGAGAATTTGTGAAAAATCGGATGGAAATTCGAGATCAGTGTATTATTTCTAGTATTACAGTATTGCTTCTGTTTCCTCCGTTCGTGAATTGATACGGATATTGCGAACCTCCTCCGACTAATTGGTCTTCGGTACTAGCTTCCTAATGAATCTACGCTACCGTGCAATTCCATTTTTAATTAATAACGTTCCACATCCGCAATTCATAATCTACTGTCATTTCCACACAAATGAAACATGGAAACGTTCCAGACCAATTATAAAAATAAAATACATTTCGTGCACTTAAATACAATTTTGTATCTGTAAAGTATATATANACTTATTTCTTCTGACTTGAAGTTACTTAAAATACTTTATAATTCAACCCAACGCGTGAAGACAATTTAGAACAAAAGTGGTTAAGAACTGCTCGTTTACAGTACTCGATCACTGTCACAAGTTTAAACAGAATGTTTCAGCCCGAAACGATCGCGTAAGGGTTTATCTCCGTTTAAACGGGCCGTACAGGCTTACTGGCAGAGTGGAATTCGATATTCTATGCAATTGGAGATTAGAGCGTAGTACCCCCGAG